TTATTATTATTACTAAATAATTTTTAAAATTGAGATTAGGAAATTTCTGTCTCCACAGGAATGGAGTCAAGATGTTTATATTTACTATATGGCTAGCTTTTATTATGATTCATCCTAAGGAACAAGAATATGGCTGCCTGGTGATATTTGAATGTAAAGAGGAATAAAGCTTAGTTTTAGAAATTGGGAAGTAGCATGGAAATCTATATAAGATGATGGAGTGGATTCTATTTCAAGCTGTGGTGTTATTGGGTTTATTGTCTTTTGTCAAGTGTTAAGCTTTCTGTGTCTTGTTTTTCTCATTTGTAAAGTGGAGATAATAAAGCTAATGTGTGTGTATGCGCCTGTACATTTGTGTGTATAAATGGACATGTGCTTGAGTGAGTGTGGAGGTCAGAGGTTGTTGTTGAATCTCCCTTAATTGGTGTCTATCTTAAATAGACTATCTCCCACTTAAGGTAGAGCTCTTCATTTGACTAGATTGATTGGCCAGTGAGCTCCAGGGATCTACCAGTCTCTGTCCCTCCCCAGCCTCTAGTGCTATGATTACAGATGCATATGTGGTGCTGCATTTGTGTTTTACATCAACACTTTACTGAGTCAGCTTACCAGCCCCTAAAGTGGAGTTTTTAAATTTTAAAAATATATGTTCATTTATTCATTTGTGTGTGTGTGTGTGTGTGTGTGTGTGTGTGTGTGTAGTGACCTAGGTTTTATTAGTATAATATGCCTACACCACACATTTAGAACTTGAAGACCTAAGTGAGAAAGTAATGGGTGCTAAATTTCTTCTAGAGGTTGAGGCAGGAGCATTACTTGGAAGGTTACATTTCTGGCATCAGTGCTTGTGGCTGTGGTAGTGAAGGTGAAGCTGTGGAACCAATTCTGACATCTGGTGAGCTGAAGGAGCTGCAGCAATTTCTTCACTGGACTAGTTCTTCAGTGTAGCTTTGTGCTTTGTCCTGAAAGTTTAGCCTCAAGCCCTTTTCTCCATTTCTGTAGCTTGTGAGCCACCCAATATAAGTAAGTTCGTTTTCTACTTATCATCTAGACTAGTACTTAAAGAATCCTTGGCTGCTGCTTCTGGGACACATCTGACATGTTTCCTGGTTTTGTAGTAAAAGTTTTATTGAATCACAGCTACATTGTTCATTTATATATTGTCTGTGGCTACCTTTATGCTAAGAAAGTAGAGTTGAGTAGTTGAGACAGAGATGATATATCCTTCAAAGCCTAAAATATTTGACCTTTTGCAAAACAATCCCCAGCTCCTGCTTTAGTGTTGTCTCTTAACAGAACACTGTTTGCTTTATCAAACAGTGAGTGTTTGGCTTGACTTCCAGTCTCTTCAGAGAATTTGGCCCTGAATTGTAATGGCTGGTTTTAGCATGGGATGTTGGTAGTATGCTACAGTTTTTTTTTTATTACCTGAGTAATATGTTATATTGTTACATATAAATATGTTACATGTATTTTATATGCATAAATATCCTGAAAGTCATTTTAAAAATAGGTGTTAATGTTTATTTTTCTGAAATTTTTTTAAAGGACTTATTGGGAGTATAAAAAATTGTAAAGTATGTTTATTAGTTACAATTCAATTATAAACCAAGCTGGCTTTGGAGATGTAATTGGCTCACTCCTTCTCTAAACCCAAGGATATTGCTAAAAGAAAAGGTTGAGAGATTCTTCAGTCCCATATCAAAAGAGCCCTCTGGTGTGGGACAGAAGGAAACCAATAAAAAGGGACCATTGTCTTCAAGATTCTAATTCTCTCCATGCTCACCCTTGATTTCTCGGAATCCTTTCTTACATATTATGTCCTCTTTATATCCAAACTTTCCATTTTGATAAAAAAATAAGTTTTTCCAATAGCAATCTCTGAAGTCTCCAGAAGTAAGATGGGGCCCCAACAACAATACTACCCAATCCAGAACGATGCCATGGTAATCATCATCATA